GTTTCTATCTCTCTCTCCCTTCCTCTCTGAAATCAATAAAAAATACATTTTTTAAAATTAAATCTTGCCATTTGAGGCAGCATGGAGGTAAAACATTGTTTCCTGACATAAATCGGACAAAGAAAGACAAATACCATATGATTTCACTTACATGTAAAATCTAAAACACAAAACAAACGGAAACAGTGCAGGAAGCCAATGCCAGCATGTCAGCAGGGCTGAATCATCTGGAGATGGCTGAGGGCATTTCCCCAACCTGAGAAGGATGATTGTGGCTGCCAGACAGCTAAAGGCATCTTAATCTACATGTTACTGCCTCCCACTGGCCAAACACCTGAACAGCCAAAGGCAATTTCCCAATCTGACAATGGATTGTGTCCAGGAACCCCTACCATTTGATGTGTATACCTACCTCGCCTTAGGACAAATTGTGTAAATAAAGGGTAAGGGGTCCTGAGACAAGGAGAACTTAGTTCCTTTAGTTAAGTCTTCTATGACTTCCCAGCATGCCTTTCAAAATTATATTTCGTCTCTGCTCTTTATTAGTCTCTGAACTCTATTAAGTTACCCACAGCCCTTCTCCAGATTCCTGAACCCTTCTAGATGCTGGAATAAGACCCCCGGCAAAACAGAAACAAACACATAGATACAGAGAATAAATGCGCGGTTGCCAGGAGGGAGAGGTGGGGAGGGATGGAGAGGGGAAGGGACTGACCACAAGCTTCCAGTTACACAGCGAGTCATGGGGTGTGACATGCAGCGTTGGGGAGATGGTCAGTGACACTAATGACGATATGCGGTGACAGATCCACTTCTTGTGGTGACCACCCTGTAAGTTATATGTGTTCAATCACTATGTTTACACCTGAAACTAACATAATACCCTTGTCAATTATAATTAAACATTAATTAACTAAAAAATAAAATAGCTGCCCCAATTATACTTTTTTTTTAAAAAAGAGTGAATGGCCAGCGCCACTGGAGGGGCCCCCCTTCACCATTTGCCCCCTGACAGGGAAGGTTTAAGGGGAACAGACTTGGGTGGCAGGGCCAGGGACATGACCGGTTGAAGGTGCAGGAACTCGGAAAAGCTACAGCAACACGGCCTGGACCCTGGGAGCTGGGTGAGGGCTGGACACTGGGAGCGGGCTGAGGGCTGGACACTGGGAGCTGGGTGAGGCCTGGACCCTGGGAGCTGGTCGAGGGCTGGGCACTGGGAGCTGGCTGAGGCCTGGACACTGGGAGCTGGCTGAGGCCTGGACACTGGGAGCTGGCTGAGGCCTGGACACTGGAAGCTGGCTGAGGGCTGGACACTGAGATCTGGGTGAGGGCTGGACACTGGGATCTGGGTGAGGGCTGGACACTGGGATCTGGGTGAGGGCTGGACACTGGGAGCTGGGTGAGGGCTGGGCACTGGGAGCTGCGTGAGGGCTGGACACTGGGAGCTGGCTGAGGCCTGGACACTGGGAGCTGGGTGAGGGCTGGGCACTGGGAGCTGGCTGAGGGCTGGGCACTGGGAGCTGGCTGAGGGCTGGGCACTGGGAGCTGGCTGAGGGCTGGGCACTGGGAGCTGGCTGAGGGCTGGGCACTGGGAGCTGGCTGAGGGCTGGGCACTGGGAGCTGGCTGAGGGCTGGGCACTGGGAGCTGGCTGAGGGCTGGGCACTGGGAGCTGGCTGAGGGCTGGGCACTGGGAGCTGGCTGAGGGCTGGGCACTGGGAGCTGGCTGAGGGCTGGGCACTGGGAGCTGGCTGAGGGCTGGGCACTGGGAGCTGGCTGAGGGCTGGGCACTGGGAGCTGGCTGAGGGCTGGGCACTGGGAGCTGGCTGAGGGGGTGAGGCCTGGGCACTGGGAGCTGGCTGAGGACTGGGCACTGGGAGCTGGCTGAGGGCAGGTCACTGGGAGCTGGCTGAGGGCTGGGCACTGGGAGCTGGCTGAGGGCTTGGCACTGGGAGATGCTGAGCACGTGGCCATCAGAGATGCATCCTGCACCCTCCAAGGAGCTCGGACCTTGGGGACCAGCGTCATGCAGGGCACCGTAGGGGCGGAGCCTGTGCCAGGATGGCTGCTCATGTAGGACCTGGACCTCACCCTTCCTCCAGATCACCACCCCCAAGTAGCACAACTCTATCCTCCACCAGAAGGACCTGTAGGGTCAGCAAGAGGACCAATGAGGCAGCGCAGGTTTCTGTTCAAGCTGTGGCCTTCGTCCCCTGACGAGGCCCTAAAGGACAGATCGATACAGCGAACTGAAGCGGGAGGGAAGGTGTGCACCCAGCCCGCAGGTCTTGGACCTGAAAGCAGCCTCCAGGGCTCCAGGTG